TTGACTGATAGGAAGTGTAGAGACCGAGAGAAATCTCTCCCTTTTTTGTTGTGTGCACCCCATGTCCAGCCTGCTGGATCTAATGGGAGATCCGAGATCTCATATGTTAGTCTAAAGGCCAGCCATGATGAGGAATCTTTTTGAAGTACCCTAATCCTAAAAATTTGGTCTTTGGAATCCATTATGTCCTGTTTTCAGGGTGTTGTGTCACTGTATTGTCTTTTTTTAAGAGGAAGAAAAAGATGAGCGCTAATGAATCTTGGGAGGGGGAGATTACGATATTTCCTACTACGTGAGACTCATTCCTTATACCCACCCAGTCACTTTCTTGAAACACCTTTCCTTTTTTGAGGACCCGTATCCAATCTAGAGGGATTAAATTCACGATCCTCTCTAGGCTTTCATTCACATGATGACAATATTTAAGCCTAGTGTGTAAAACCTTTGCGATAATCCAACCTCTTGTTCCTTCGTCCCAAATATCTTTGATTCTTATGATACCTTTTTTAATCCATCCTTTCCATGGGTTCTCCATACAATGTAGAGTATAGCCTTGGGAGTCCCTGACCATTCATTATTGAAAACTGGGTGACGGATAATTTATTCTCATCTTTTAAGAGGGTATTTATCAGGCAAGGGAATTTTTCTCCACGTCCTCATGATTTTTATCCAAAATGAGTCCTTGCTAATGTCTTGTCTTGCCGCTTCCTTATCTGTGAGTTCTTGGACGTTGTGGTTTCTTTGTATACTTCTTGGAATTGACCATGCCCAATTTTCTAGCCACATTGTTGGATCTACTGCATTACCAGTGGAGGAGGCTAGTCTCCTCAGTTGCTTCCATACCATTGCACTCCAAGGGATTTGTGGATTGAATAGAAGCCTCTTGATTCATTGCACAGATAGGGTCATAGTTTGAGTTGATGGATCAATAATTCCCAACCCCCTTTTAGATTTGGGTTGTATGGTTGATGTTCAGGCTACTCTGCTTATGACATTTTTCCAGTCATGGTTGTCTCTCCATAAAACGACTCTGAGTTGTTGCTGGAACAATTTGGTCGATGACTCATTTAGTGCTCATATGGCCGATTTGTATCAAGTTGAGTCAAGGATTACATTGTTGATTACTAGAGCTTGACCCATAATAGAAGTGTGTTTGTTTTTCCACAGGTCGAATTTGGATTGGGCACTTTGTATCATTCTTTCATTGTTTGTCATTGGTTTTCCTTCTCCTGATAGGGATATATCTAGGATTCTGATTGGAGTTTCCTTAGGGACCCATTTAATACGAGAGGTTTCTGGTGGTCTGACCCCTTGGTAATGAATCCACCATCATAGGGTTTTGTTTCCCCAATTGACCTTTATGTCAGATAATGTACATAATTTATTCAATAGTCCCTTAATTGCTTCCATATTTTCGACGGTTGCATCCACCATTAATGAGAGATCATATCGGAATTGCCTCTCCTGGAATAGAGGAGATCTGTATTTTTTTTATGTCCTTATGTTTAGTGAGATTGGCAGCTAGGGCTTCCATGATTATGATGAAAAGAAAAGGAGCAAGAGGATCGCCTCGTCTAACCGATCTTTGTAAGTTAATTGGGGGAGAAACATTACCGTTTATAATGATTCTAGTAGATGCGTTTTGGTGTAGGATTTCTATCCATCTCTTGAAGTTTGGACCAAAGTTCATTTTTTCTAAGCACTTGTCCAGAAAGAGTCAATCCACATGGTCATATGCTTTCTCAAAGTCAATGAAGATGAAGGTTGCATTATGTCAAGAATGGTGTGTGTCATTAAGGTGGGGGGTTAGTCTTTTTTTTTTTTTTTTTTTTTTTTTTCTTTTTTTTTTTTTTTACATTTGGTCTATTTCTCGATTTATGTGTGTCATCCTTGAGAAAGGGGCATTTGCTTATTTACCCTTCTCTGTATCATTCCAATTTTAATGGATGTCTCGAAGGACTGGGGGGTTAGTCTTCCCTTTTCGAGTATTTTCCAACCTCGCCAAAGTGTGTCCGGGAGATGTTAAGACCGAATGGAATGGCAAGACCAAACGGTGCATTCTTGAATCCATCTAAAGTCCCCGCTAGTCGGACTTATCTTCCGTTAGACAGACTCGTTTGGCCGTAAAACAATCAGGTTGGGCAATTTAGGGTCCGTTGTGCTAGTGCTTCAAAATTTGCCTAGGTTGGGAAACTATATCAGGACATAAACTCTGCGTATCGCGGTCATCTTTTCTTTTTCTTCGGGGGGGAAACCGTTGTACCCCTTCTTTTTTACTAGGGCCCACTGCCCAAGGCAAAAATACAATGTTTGGGAGTTGCAGATTCAGGGGTCGCAAGGCCTCCACGCAATGACACCAGGTGGGACCTTAAACACGACCCGCTTTGGACAAACATCCTGCGCTTGTGGTGAGACATGGGCCCGACAAACAAACCTCCCCCCCCAAGATGGGATGACATATGGAGGCAACCGATATTTGGAAGCCCACATCTACTAGATGATATCGGTCACCCCCTCTCCCTGGCAGCCAATAGCCATTGGCTGACATGGGTGAGAAACGGTATGATTGTGATACTGGATCTGTGGGATATTCAGGAGGGCACGTGGAAGACGGGCCAACAACTGCGACCAGCACTTAGACACATAAAAAACAGTCAAACAAAACTCTACCAACTCCAGGCTGCGGTACCTCTGAGTTGGGTGGCAACATTAAAAAACGACCCACAACTAAGGAAGGATGACTGGGTCTCCAAAAATGATGCCAATCCCATCCCCATGGTTATATATAAAGTATCCAAAGTGGTTGCGGACACAGTATAGTTACAGGCTTATGAACCAGACTGGCCAGGGGCGAAACGGACTCATCTTGGAAAGAAGCCTAACCTTGACTGCCAACAACCCACATGTAACCTCACCAGAATTAGAGTAGTGGGGGAAGAGGACACGAGGTACTTCGCCTTTGAGATGGCCTGCCCGATTTGTGCCCTCCCTTTTGACCCAGAAGAATAGGAATGGCCGCGCCACAAACCCACTCCGATCTGGTGTTACATAGTGAAGGAAGGATACAAACAGGCACATCGTCTCCACCCATCATCTCCAATTGTCCGCAACAGGTGGAACCGGGACTCACCGCTGGAAGAATCGACATTAAGAGATATCCCATGGACATCCTATGCACACATTATGCCGACATCTCACCGGGCCCTTCAGTGGCAGATCATGCATCATTGCCTCCCAGCCCCGGACTTGATAACAACAAGCTCAAACCTGGAACAAAAAGGGGTATTGTCTCCGATATGCACGTATTGTGGGCACTCAACATCACAACGCTGACGAGCAGACTTGGAACACTGCCTATTGGCCTGTCCCATGGCTCTCCAAGTTTGGCGCTGGTGGGACGCATTCTGGCACAAACTCTCGGATATCCCTTCCAATGGGATGTAGGCCTAATCCTGCTGGGAGGACAAAAAAATCACCCAGCCACATGGTCTCTATTCCAACAAAACCTGTTCAAACACATGCGGCTGGCCATACTTATGGTCATCTGGAGAATGAGATGCTCGGCTGAACGCAAAGAGTTCACTTTTGGCCTTCCTGAGGCTAAAGCAGAGATTGTGGAAACGATCAGGACGAACATAGTAAAGGTCGGCAGAAAGCTTGCTGCTGATCTAGCTACAATAGCTGACCCGAAGGAGAAGCAGCAAGCTATCTCGGAGTTCAAGGACCTCTGGCTGGACCCCCACCGGAAAATGGCTGATATGCAGGAAGATGAGAAACTGATATGGAAGAACTGGGTAGCCCAAGAAAAGAATTGGCGACTCAGACCACTGGATTGCTTCCACACACCGTTGCCGGGACAGAACACAGACGCACTAATAGAGGATCGAATACCCACTACCTGGACCCATCAACCCCACCCCTTACCCCCCCCAGACAGAACACGGACGCACTAATAGAGGATCGAACACCCACTACCTGGACCCATCAACCCCACCCCTTACCCCGCCCTTCT